TCTAGTACACAGTAACCATTCAATATGTTTGCTCGGTAAGTTCTCTGGATAATGTTTTCAAAAGCCTGAGCTCTATATGAATGAACTTTCCCGTCTTTCAGTCCCTTCCATAATTCCCAAACCTTCCCACATCCTCTGTCCTTTATTCTCAGTCATGACAGACCCTCTGTACCTTAATCTTATAGTCATCTCCTCCGGAGACGAACAGTGGCTGCTGCTTATGGAAGTCAATGCCTCGCACTGGACCTGGTAGAAAAGGAAGGCAATGTGTGTTAGAGAAAGCTATCCTTTCTAATCTCTAAGGTGATTCCTATACAGGATTTTTCAGTTCTGTCACTTCCACATTCTTTAATCATAGAGGAATACATGTTAAACAAGGCTTAAAATACCCCAGGATATGATAAATACTTATACTCTTAACTTCCTCCTAGAAATAGCTTACCATCATGTTCATCAAACTTGTCAATGAGAGTACACATCCGATAGTCCCATAACTGGATGACCCCATTATGTAAACTAGTCAGGATCCAAGGTCTTTTGGGGTGAAAGCTGAGCCCTGAAAAAAACAGAAAATGATACAATAAGCTAACTAAGCCCACGATGTCATCTTCTGTCAATTCTGGTAAGACAAAGAAAGAGCAAGGTTAATCCTAGGTTCGTTCATTCATTCATTCAACATGCCTGATGATTTTTTACTGGATGCCAGACATCATGAATTTTCTGTTTGGTGCTAGGTTTTTGTTATGTTCCTTTAAATATTGTTGGGCTTTGCTCTAGGATGCAATTAAGTTAACTGGAATCAGTTAATCATTTCAAGGCTCACTTTTAGGTTTTATTACAGGGGGGCTACAGCAGCCTTTATTCTAGGCCTAATCTGGAACCACTGTTAAAGCAATACCCATCTGAGGTATCTATTCAAAGCCCTGTAATTTTAGGAAGTCTTTCCATTCTGGTCAGTAGGAACCAAAACTAGTCCCAGACCCGTGTGAGCTCTGGGGATTGCTCTGCCTTCTCCTTGCCAGTGGTTCTTTTTCAGGTTTTGAATAGTTTTCTCATATGCAGATCAGTACTCAGACAAAGACCTGAGAGGACATCCTGCAGATCTCCAGTGCTCTCTCTGGGCAGACCCCTCTACTCCGGTATTTTGCCCAGCAAAATCTAGCCATCTTTGCTTCCCCACACTCTAAACTTTTGTCTCCTCAAAAGACCTAGTGTACCAATATATCATTAAAAAAATAAAAAGACCAAGGGATTCCCCTCTTTATTGAAGCCTGAAAACTTTCTACGCAGTAATCTAAGACAATCATAGGACTCCCCTTGTTTATTTCCCTTCTCTCAAGAATCATTTTCCTGCACTGCCTGTTGCCCAATGTCTGTAGGGAATGTATGAACCTTTCTTTCATACATTTTGTTCAGTTATATAGTTAAGGTGGGAAGGTAAATCTGGTCCTTGTTCTTCTATCATGACTGGAAATGGAAGTCCCCAGGGGTAACAACTACTAACGGTTTGGAGCATATGCTTTCAGATTTGTAATGCAGTTACTCATAAACAAAGGCCTTAGTATTTAATGAAAGTGGAGATCACATTATGATGTTGTTCTGCAAACTTCTTTCTCACTTAACTATATAATGCGGATCTCTTTAAAGTACATATAAACACAACCTCACTCTTTTTAACTACAATGGACAAACGTACTACATTTATTCTAACAGCATTGAACTTTTCCCCCCCAATTTTTGGCTATCAGAAGAGCCTACTGAAGATAATTCTACACATAATCTAGCCTATTTGCATTATTATTGCTCTAGGCTAAAGACCTGTAAGTGAAATTGCTCAGGAATGGAAGATGTGCACTGAACATTTTAGTACATGTAGTTTAAATGTAAAAACACTGTGTCAATATGCAGTCTCCTTAAGTTTATGGAGGTGCCCATTTTAAACACAGGATAGTATCAGTTATTTGTTGTTTTGTCTGTTTTATAAATCTAAGACCCTCCCCCCAAAAAAGTAACCTCACTTTTTTTTTTTTTGCATTTCTTTCATTACTAGTGAGGTGGGACTGTTTTCATTATTTATTGAACATTTACAGTTTTTCTTCTAAATAGTCTATTTTTCCATTAGGTTGTTCCTTTTTCTTTTTTTCATTATGATATATAGGTACACTCAACAATGGATGTTTGCCCTCAAATATGACATCTTTGTTTTTCCTTGTCTCGTGCCCGGCAAGAAATTAGGAGCAGGAAAGAAAACGGAAAGATTACAAAGACCAATATCAACTATCCAGGCCTCAGAAATTCTTAGTGGTACCCACCTTTCAAGATCAAGTTTCCCAAGAGACGCAGAAATTGCTCAGAATATATTGACACATTCATGACAGCCTCCAGTTTTTGAGCTACTGAGTCTACACCAGGCACCATAATAAATACATTCCATACTTTCTCATTTTAATTCTCTCTATAAAAGACTATTTTACAGATGAGGAAATAGAGACTTAGAGACCTTAAATAAGTCACTCAAGTCATACAACTTGTTTGTGGATGTCTCAGGATTCCAAAGCAAGCCCATCTGATTTCAAAGACCAAGTTCCCAACCACTTTGTTATGCTGCATCTTACTAAATATTCTAACCTATTTTTTCCAGGTATCAGGAGACCTTACTTCTTTGCTTTTCCCATTCTAACACTCTGAGGCTAATACTGCTATCTCGAAGTCATTTGCCCTCCACCCACAACGACCCATACTCGAGCTCTAGAGTTGCCATACTTAGCAAATAAAAATACGAGATGCCCAGATAAATCTGAACTTCTGGTAAACAATGACAGACTAAAAAACTATTCATTGTTTCCCTGAAATTCAAATTTAACTTGGCATCCTGCATTTTATCTGGCAACCCTATTAAGTTGGGACTTTACTGGGTTTATAAGCCTCAAGGTACTATTTCCAGGTGGGAAATAAAGCCGAATGGAGGCACTGACGTTGAGATGGTGCAGCCAAGGCCTCCTTAAGTGAGGTAGCCACCACTCGTCTCCAGAAAAGCTACTGACTGGGGTACGAGTAACAGAGATCGAAACTCAATCCCCAGGGCCACTCCATGTAACACAGTCATTAAAAAGCCAACAGGTCACAGAGCCTTTGGAGCAGAAAAATACAAGTCGGGAGCAAAGCCAAGACAGAGAGAAGAAATAATAGGGAGGGGGCTTAAGGAATCCCCTGCAGTGTGGGAGCCAAGTTTTAGGTAAATCGAAGCCCAAGGACACACCAAAGAAGAGAGGACTGGAGAACCGCTCGACAGGCCTAACCTCTCTGCCACCCTCCGTCTTCCTCCGGGTCCGTCGGATGGGCCCAATTCACCCAGCATGTCTACCCATTTTCTCTTTCCCTGTGTCAGCGCCGCCCCTGACATCCAGCCTCCATGTTCCCCCTTTTCTTCTCCGCTACCTTTGACCCGCGCGCTCTTGGTCTCGAATTTGGTTAGCATCTCTCAGGTCTCCGACTCCGATGTCTTAATCCGAACCCAGACACACCCTGCTGCCCTTCGGTCGCCTCCACGTCAGCGACCCTCTGCTACGGTTTCCGGAAGCTCTTGGAAACGCGAATATCCGGTCTCTGGGGCTCCGGACCACAGAGACGGTGTCAGTGGTAGCCTAGAGAGGCCGCTACCCTACAGGAGCCGAACGGGGGCTTCCGCTCAGCTGAGAGGCAAGATGGCCACGGCAGTGGGTGTCTCTGGGGCTGACCCGGGAAGTCGGGGTCTCCTTCGCCTTCTGTCTTTCTGCGTCCTACTAGCAGGTGAGGCCTCCCCGCCCGTGGGCTCCGTTCTCTAAGGGGAATTCTCCGGATCGGCCCCGCCGCGAGCGCCACTGTCTCCCTTCTGGTTCCCGCTGCCCCTCTGTCCCCAGACCCTGTAAATTCTCTTCTTCTTTGGTTCCCACGACAGAAGTTCCCCCTTTGCCTGGACCTGAAGGTCCCTTCTTCCCTACAGCACGTTATGTCGCTTCACGCCCTTTTCCAGGCCTCTTCCTGGACTTCCAGCCCGACCCTCTCCCACTTTGTCCAGATTCCTTGTTTTCCCCCAGCCACCCGACCTACAGTCGAAAGGAACAGGTGTGAAAGTTAGCTTTCTTCCCCTCGTTTAGACTTTTTGAGATGAAAGCAGTCTTGTTCTGTGACTGCTGTGCGGCGCTTAAAAGGTAGATTCCTTATTTCTTCCTCTACTGATTACACCGTAAATCTGTGTCCCTCTGCCTTGTCTTTTTTTTTTTAATCAGTAAAGTGAAAGTAAGGTAGAATATGGCTACTCTTAACTGTCAAGACCGTGAAGTAAAGATTCAAGGAACTTTTGGCATTTATAATATTCTTAAATGTTTGTTTATGTGCGTTTATTTACTAATATATGGCTTTCTGGTGGGTCACGCCCTAAAAATGCAAAATGCCTGTATAAAACTATGACTATGCTTCCCAAATTCACACTGTTTTTAAAGATCCTCAAAGCAGAAACTATAGCTGCCCCACACTGTGGGCAAACAAATGACCTACTGATGTTAAATTAACTGACAGGTGTATGTCATAAGGTTTCTCCCAATTCTGTTCACACTCTTGGAAAAATGTCTCAGAAAGTTTTCTTAGCCCAGCACCTTTGTATTAACCGATTAGTAATACACATACAGGATATACAAGCAGAAGTGTTATCAACCATGCAACCAGAATCTGGCAACTATAACGTCAAACATCTTTGCTTTGACCAAGTTTTCTCTTTTAGTGTCACTGTCAATGGCACTACGTGGACTTTGTAATAACCCTTGAGACACATAGCTGGGTGCCATGTAGAGCATATATCTGTTACAATAATTTGCCCAAAAGTAAGAAGAATCGACATTAGTCTCATTTTGGAAAGTATGATATTGAATGATTTACTCAAGACATACATCTGGCTAATGACGTGATAGAAGCTAGTACCTGTGTCTCTCAATTTTTTCTAACACTTTTTATCTTCCAATCAGGTTTGTGCAGGGGAAACTCAGTGGAGAGGAAGATATATATCCCCTTAAATAAAACAGCTCCCTGTGTTCGCCTGCTTAACGCCACTCATCAGATTGGCTGCCAGTGTGAGTTGAGACCGGGACTCATGTTTGTGGACATTGATATTTGTCTGTGCCCTAGATACTAAGTAACATCCGTGTCCTGCTTAGGAGTTTTGACACTCAAATTGGACTGTGTGAGTAGGCAGTGATAGAGAACCACCTGTCAAGCTAGGCAAGGTAATTAATAAGATCTAACATTTAGTAAATACTGCATACCAAACTTTTTACATGTGTATCTCATGTAACCCCCACCACAACCCCATAAAGTAGGTCTGACTGTTATTGTCACTTTGCAAATGATGAAACTAAGACTTACGTCAAGTAACTTTCCCAAGATCATACTGGTAATAAGTGATGAAGCCAGGACCTGGTGGCCCAAGCACGAAGCTGGGACCACCAGCTTTTTTTTTTTTTGAGACGGAGTTTCACTCTTGTCCCCCATGCTGGAGTGCAATGGTGCGATCTCAGTTCACTGCGACCTCTGCCTTCCAGATTCAAATGATTCTCCTGCCTTAGCCTCCCAAGTAGCTGGGATTACATGCACCTACCACCACACCCAGCTAATTTTTGTGTTTTTAGTGGAGATTGGGTTTTACCATGTTGGCCAGGATGGTCTTGAATTCCTGACCTCAAATGATCCACCCACCTTGGCCACCCAAAGTGCTGGGATTACAGGCATGAGCCACCATGCTTGGCCAAGTCGGGACTCTTAACCACCCTATTATGCTATTTTTTAAGGAGGAAAAAGTCTTATATTCTATGGTAGCTAGTGATTACTTGCACTCTGAACTTTTTGGAACCAAAATGGGCTTCTTAAAGGCAATGAACTATTTGAAGAGAAAGTACTGAAAATGCCAAATAAGCTGGGTGCAATGGCTCATGCCTGTAATCCTAGCACTTTGGGAGGCCAAGGCGATGGATCACTTGAGGTCAGGAGTTCAAGACCAGCCTGCCCAGTATGGTGAAACCCCCTTGTTTCCACTAAAAATACAACAAGTAGCCAGCTGCAGTAGAGTGCCTGCGTAGTCCCAGCTTCTTGGGGGGCGGAGGCAGGAGAATCGCTTGAGCCCAGGAGGCAGTGATTGCAATGAGCCAAGATTGTGCCACTTGGGTGACAGAGTAAGACACTGTCTCAAAAAAAAAAAAAGAAAGAGAAAAAGAAAATGCCAAATAATTGCAAGAGGAATTAGTGAAGCGTTCTATTTATCTTTTTTTAAAACTTTTTTTTCCTTAAATTCAGCTGACAGACCATTTATTTTTATGCTTTGTAAGTGTGTTCCAAAAGAGGGTGCCATGACACTGTGGCTCTAAAAACTATGAGAACCATAGGGCAGGAAAAGTAGTCATCTAAAGGCTAACCCTGCTGGCTTCAGATTTTGTTTCCCGTGGACAGTGGCTCTGTCAGAATGTAGTTTTGCAGATAAGCAGGAAACGGGGCCTGATGTTGGCTTCTTCATCTTCAAATTGATCACCTCTGAATTTCAGTTTACGCCTGGAATAGTGGTTGGAATACTTGCATAAAGCTGAAAGTCAAATAACCTCTTAATAGATGTTTATGGATGGTGCTAAGTAAATAGTGTGGTCTCAGAAGTGCTGTATAATTTCCTGAAACCTTCTTCCACTTTGGTAAGGGAAAACTGAGACACTGAGAAGTAAAGGACTTGCTCATAGTAGCAGTTACTGCTTTTTTAGCCATCTTTCCCTGAGCTATAGTATAATTATTCCATGTCCCTGCTATGCAAAGCACTGGTTCCAAACAGCCCCAAATAAAGTTTTTGTTGGAGTTGATTTCTTTCTTTCTCTTTTTCTCTCTCTCTTTTTTTTTTTGAGATGGAGTCTTGCCATGTCGCTTAGGCTGGAGTACAGTGGTGCAATATTAGCTCACTGCAACCTCTGCCTCCTGGGTTCGAGCGATTCTCCTGCCTCAGCATCCTGAGTAGCTGGGGTTACAGGTGCGCACTACCACGCCTGGCTAATTTTTTGTATCTTTCGTAGAGATGGGGTTTCACCATGTTGGCCAGGGCAGTCTCGAACTCCTGACCTCGTGACCCACCCGCTTTGGCCTCTCAAAGTGCCAGGATTACAAGTGTGAGCCACCGTGCCCAGCCCCCTGGACTTAGTTTCTGAACTGGTTTGTAGGTAGAAGAGAACTAGGTCCAGGGTGGGCTGAGATCAGACTGCTGGTCTTGCTGGAACCTCACTGTAAGTACAAAAGGCCAGAACCCCATCCTCTTGTAACTGGGCCCTAAGAAAACTCCTTCGGGAATGACTCATTCTGCTTTATGTTCTTAAAACAGCTCTGTGGGAAGCAAAGCCTCTAGAGGTAAAGCCAAGTGCCAGAACTGAGAAACAAGAGGGGAGGGGCTGGACTCTGGCCACTTCCTCATTAAGCTCTTGTTTTCTTTTCAACCTACTTATTTCTAAGTCTTACTTCATCATATCTGTCTTTCCTGAGCAGGCTACGCCCTTTTTAATTAGGGTAGCTAACAGGATAAAACTAAGGAGAAAAAGTGATACCCAGATTTGATTTCTGATTATAATGCTCTGCTTCTCTGGGACCCTTTAAAGCTCTCAAAGGGAGCTATAAATAGGTTTCTTTTCCCTACCTCCCTCCTCCTTTCCTTTCTTCCTTCTTTCATCTGTCCCCACAGTATGAGATGAATAGAGGTAGAAAATCTCCTCGTTGAAGGCCCAGAGAAAATAAGCAAGTTACTTAAGACTACACTGTCACTAGTTGGAACCCAGATTTGAATCCAGGTTTTTTTCAGTCCAGATCATAATTTGTCTTCTTCCTGTCCTCCCTGGAGTTGAAGTTCTTTGTTTTGTTTTGTTTTTTTGTGACAGAGTCTCACAGCGTCACCCAGGATGGAGTGCAGTGGCATGATCTCAGCTCACTGCAGCCTCTACCTCCCAGGTTCAAGCAATTCTCCTGCCTCAGCCTCCCAAGTACCTGGCAGCGCATGCCATCACACCTGGCTAATTTTTGTATTTTTAGTAGACGGGGTTTCACTATGTTGGTCAGGCTGGTCTCGAACTCCTGACCTCAAGTGATCCACCCACTTCAGCCTCCCAAAGTACTGGGATTATAGGCATGAGCCACCGCACCTGGCCGAAGTTATATATTTTTTAGTTGCCACACTACCTGTTCCTTTTCCCATATTTTAAATGCTATGGCAAGGACCAGGCGTGGTGGCTCACTCCTGTAATCCCAGCACTCTGGGAGGCCGTGGCGGGCATTTAAAACTCTAAAGTGATTCTGATACACAGCCAGGGCTGAGAACTACTGGTCTAAAATAATCTATGAATTAACACATCCAGTTTTCTGTCGGGAGAAGACGCACAGGGAGATCCTAGGATATCCCTATACAGATGACTAGGGACTTAAGGGGTGTTACCTAATGCCTTGAATTACATAGAATTCAAAGTATTCTGGACTCTGGGTCATCCGTCCTCTAATACAGTGCTTCCCAATCTTTATCATGTATGAGACACATAGAAAATGTTATTTATATGGCATCCTGGCACATAGAGAAATGGGTGATATTTTCAGGGCATCCTGGGGTAAATGATATGTATACCCCTGGCTGCAGGTGACTTTGGAAACCCTGGGTTTCCAGGAATGAGGACAACCAATGTCAGCACATCTCTAATCCATTCAAGGCCTATCAGTTGGGAAGCTCTGTTTTAGAGACCTCAGAGTTCTTGATTAACCTCATCTAAAACCGGCCAGAAGCAAGTAAGTCATTCCCACAAAGGGCAAAAGGATTAACAATTGAGGAAGGGTCCTGAGGCCCAAGGGCATCTACGCATGCGTTTTTCAAAGGAAGATTCAAAGCTAAAACCCCGAGCTATAGATTTAGAGTATCTCTGAGCTAGGGATTTGGTGGCATTTTCTGGGGAAAATAGAGGTTTGAAAACTTTGGTGTCTATCTTATGTATATGGCTAAATAAGGTTGAGGGCAGAGAGCAAGAAAATGAGGTTCACAGAAACTTTCTGGCATATAATGAGTCCTCTTGTGCTCTTTTATATTCCATTTCCTCCTGATAACCTTCAGATGGAGCCGGGGCAACAGCTTTTCAGTTCAAATCTAGGGGTGCCTGTATTCCCCCGAATATGTTGTGACATCTTTAAGGAAAAAAGATACGCAGAATCAGTGAGGCAAAGTCAGAATTGTCAACCATGGGAGCTTTAATTTGACTCATTCTGTCCTGGCAGCTTCAATTAGTGGAGACACAGGGGTTATCCACGTTGTAGAGAAAGAAGAGGACCTGCAGTGGGTATTGACTGATGGCCCCAACCCCCCTTACATGCTTCTGCTGGAGAGCAAGCTTTTTACCAGGTAAGAACTAGACGTATCTGCTGGGAAAACATCCAGAGAGGGCAAAGTTCAGTGAACAGTCTTCCCACTTATTAAAACGTCCCTTGGCTGCCCTGGTCTGGTCAGGGGCGAGGGTGGGATGGTCTTCAGAAGGAAAGTTGTACTGTCAAAAATGATCTTGAGCTCAGGGCTTAGTTTCATCTACCTTGTTTCTGAGTAATTCTGGGCACCCCCCTTTTTCCTCCCTGGGGTCCTTACTCACCAGAGCTCTACTTTTAGAACAGACCATAGTCCAAACTCAGAAGTTAGTGACTGAAAGGGAATAATAAGAACTAGGGAAACAGTCTAGGTCCCCTAGTTCCCCATTTGTTTCCATCCTGGAGGGCAAGATGTCAGGCTGTCTGATACCTTCCTGAGTTCCTTCATGGAATTCCTTTCATATTCCAGGGATTTAATGGAGAGGCTGAAGGGGAGAACCAGTCGAATTGCTGGTCTTGCAGTGTCCTTGACCAAGCCCAGTCCTGCTGTAGGCTTCTCTCCTAGTGTGCAGTGCCCAAACGATGGGTTTGGTAAGTGTCCCAAAGGGTCAGGGGAGCTTGCTGTCACCTAAGGCTCATTGTTGCTTTGGTCTTAGGTCTTTGTGAGGGATGTGTGTGTGTGTGTGTGTGTCTGTGTCTGTGTGTAGTGTCAGTAGCTGACTTGCTAACAGGAGGTAGTGTTTATTTGTCTTGCTGCTCATCTCTTCCCTCTCCTGCTTCCCCTTCCTTTGCCTTACCTGGCATCGTCCCTTTTTGTCACATGTTCACATCCCTAAACTGACAGCCTAAGACTCCCTGTTACCATTGCCTCTGTATTTTAGTGTGGATGGTGATAGACTTCACGCCTGCTTTTTTGAGTCACCACCTCCTTTTGAACCTTTAGTCCCAGCTCTAAGATATCCTAACCTTCCTCGCACACCTGGTTCCTGAGTATTTGGTGTCCCAGTAACAAGTCTCCCAATCCCCCATCCTTCCCTTCAGGTGTTTACTCCAACTCCTATGGGCCAGAGTTTGCTCACTGCAAAGCAGTACAGTGGAACTTACTGGGCAATGGTTTGGCTTATGAAGACTTTAGTTTCCCCATCTTTCTTCTTGAAGATGAAAATGAAACCAAGGTCATCAAGCAGGTAATGACTATGCCAGCTCCTAGTAATTCCAGTTAGAAAGAAGATTATTTTTCTTGGTTTTTTTTTTTTTTTTTTTTTGAGACGGAGTTTCGCTTTTGCTACCCAGGCTGGAGTGCAATGGCGCAATCTCGGCTCACCGCAATCTCCGCCTCCTGGGTTCAGGCAATTCTCCTGCCTCAGCTTCCCGAGCAGCTGGGATTACAGGCACGCACCACCGTGCCCAGCTAATTTTTTGTAATTTTAGTAGAGACGGGGTTTCACCATGTTGACCAAGATGGTCTCGATCTGTTGACCTCGTGATCCATCCGCCTCGGCCTCCCAAAGTGCTGGGATTACAGGCTTGAGCCACCGCGCCCGGCCGAAGATTATTTTTCTAGCCAGGTGTGGTGGTGTGCACATGTAGTTCCAGCGACTCGGGCGGCTGAGAAAGGAGGATCGCTTGAGCCCAAGAGGCAGAGATTTTAGTGAGCTGAGGTGGCACCACTGCACACCAGCCTGGGTGACAGTGCGAGACCCTGTCTCAAAAGAGAGAAAGACAGAAGAGAGAGGGAGGGAGGGAGGGAAGGAGGGAAGGGAAGGCAGGCAGGCAGGCAGGTGGGTGGAGGGGAGGGGAGGGAAGGGAGGGTGGGAAGGAAGGGAAAGAAAAGAAAAGGAAGAAAGGGGATGATTTTCTAGGCTCTCCTGTTGAGAGGGAGGCTCATTCTGCTAGTGCACCTGCTGAAAGACGGTTACTCCAAAGAGAACCCAGACATTGATTTTTCTCACATTCTCTCCCCACATTTCACTCTTACCTGATATCACAGCATTAAAGCCTTTTAGACTAGAAGAAAATATAAAGAATATCTGAAAGAATCATATGAAACAAGATACACAGCCCAGGTGAAGAGCCACTAGTATCTTAAAAAGAGCATTGGACTAGCAGTTGAGAGATTCAATTTAGTGATTTCTGATGTTCTTTTTAGCTCTAATGTGCCCTAATTCTGGTCTAGTATTTCCACTTTGATTCACAGAGTAGTTAGATTTGTCCAAAGTTGCATGGTGAGCTGATGTCCAAGCTGTGTCATATCTGATTTCCTAGCTCTAGTTTGGTGCTCTCTGTATCAGATCACACTGAATCTTTTCAGTGGCTGAAGCTTCAAACTGGGCCAGGCCATCTGGAGTGGGATAATTTCATCTGCTTCAACTAAACCATAGAGTCTGCAACCCTTTGTACCTCTTGATGAGTTTTTCCTCTTTGACCTTATAGATCCTATGGTTGTACCGGGGTAACCATAGCTCAGGGACAGATGTCCCCAAAAAGGGTGTGGCTCCATCCTAAAAGGATGGAACTGGACCCTCCTGTTTCTGGGATGTTAGGGAGGGCCTCCACAGCTAGCTGTCTCCATGGGGTCCATCTCTCCTTTCAGTGCTACCAAGATCACAACCTGAGTCAGAATGGCTCCGCACCAACCTTCCCGCTGTGTGCCATGCAGCTCTTCTCACACATGCACGCTGTCATCAGCACTGCCACCTGCATGCGACGCAGCTCCATCCAAAGCACCTTCAGCATCAACCCAGGTAGGGCAGATCCAAACCGTGAGGGTATTGGAATGAAGGGCAGAGGGAAAGTGGAACCAGGCCAGGGAATGTTGTAGAGACTGTAATAGGAAAGGAGTAGACACCATGAAGGAGCTCTGCTTGGGAGAACTAGAAACAATTCTGAAAAACATAGGCAGCTTGTCTCTAAAGTGGATGGTGGCAGAGAAGCCAACCTGGGACTGTTGGAAGTGGAGAAAATGACTTAGAGTCGATGGGGCACTGGTCGGAGACGTTTTTCAGTGTTGCCTTTATAGCTACCCTCTCCCTTAGCCTTGTTGATCTCAGTGTTTGTGTCCTGCTTAGAAATCGTCTGTGACCCTCTGTCTGATTACAATGTGTGGAGCATGCTAAAGCCTATCAATACAACTGGGACATTAAAGCCTGATGACAGGATTGTGGTTGCTGCCACCCGGGTGAGTACTGGCTTCTGATCAGGATGGGCAGGGCTGGCACAAAAAGAACTGGCAGGCCCCTCTCTGGCGTATCAGATTTCAAAGTTGCTAAATTGGGAAGCATCAGATGGGGAGGAATCTGGGCTGTGGGACTCCTGGGTTGTCTGCCTTGCCGCAGGACAGGTAAATTCTCTTGACTGGAGCAGGAAAGGAGGTTTGGGGCCAGTTTTAAAGTACATATCCCCTGACTTTTCTTCTTTGGTACCTAGCTGGATAGTCGTTCCTTCTTCTGGAATGTGGCCCCAGGGGCCGAAAGCACGGTGGCTTCCTTCGTCACCCAGCTGGCTGCAGCTGAAGCTTTGCAAAAGGCACCTGATGTGACCACCCTGCCCCGCAATGTCATGTTTGTCTTCTTTCAAGGGGTAAGGGCTTTTTGGCTGGGGCGCAATGGCAGGAAAGAAAGAGGATGGTAAAGATGAGGGCAGTTACTGGTTGGAGAAGACCTCAGTACTTGACCTAGGTTGTTAATCAGCACAGAGCTTCTGGATGTGTCTACATGCGTCTCCCCTTTAGATTCCTCCATTTTAGGAAGCTTTTACATCCTGAATTGGTGTGTAAGCAGCCCCTTGTTTCCCCCACTGATAAGATCTATTGAGTGGCCTTTTACTTTAATTATCTGGACTCCTTTACTGCTGTCTCCATCCAGGAGCCCTGAGGCTACTGACTCTTCTCACTCTGACCCCTAAAATTGGGGAACAGCATCTGTGGCTGAGTCACTGGAGGTGGGGGACAGTTAAGAAGCAGACACATAATAGCTGATGTTTGTCTTAGGCCTTTACTAAGACTACTTTCCCCATTTCTGGGCTTGAGAAATCTTGTGATATGTACATATTAGGGATCACCCCAGCTGGGAGGTGGGACCAAGAGGAAGAGGAAGTCGCATGACTGTAAGCGGACTAGCAGTTGAGGTGAACTGAGACAGTAGTCTTCCTGCCTACAGCTTTGATGATCTAGCCTTCTTCAAGGCTTTCTTAACCCTTTGGAATCTCTATTCCCCTCCCACCTACCTCCATCTCTCAGGAAACTTTTGACTACATTGGCAGCTCAAGGATGGTCTACGATATGGAGAAGGGCAAGTTTCCTGTGCAGTTAGAGAACATTGACTCATTTGTGGAGCTGGGACAGGTATGCAGCATATACCCTGACCCTTCCTTTTTACTTACAGCTTCCTCCTTTATTGTTCTGTGGTCTCAGCTGCAGAAACCACTGCCTTTTCCCTCGACTTCTATCTCGTAGGTATGGGCCAGAACAGGAAACTGATTCTAAGTGTTGTTTCTTCATCCTCCCCCCAGGTGGCCTTAAGACCTTCACTAGAGCTTTGGATGCACACAGATCCCATGTCTCAGAAAAATGAGTCTGTTCGGAGCCAGGTAACCTGAGCATCTCTCCTCATTTCCTGTTCCTACAGCTCAGAATCCAGACCCCAACCCCTGCCATGTTTCCACCAACCCCTGCCCTGTTTCCACTAACCCCCAGGGCCTGTGAGACAGGGTAAGAGACAGGATTGGATTGGGTGTTGGCCAAAGGATGAACACCACAGCTGTTGTTGCTGCTGGGAAGAATCAGGAGCTCAGTGGCATCCCATTGGTTCCCTGGACTGGGTATTTCTTTGATCATTTGTTGCCTAGCAGACTACCACTGCCCATTAAGGATAGGTGAGTGACTAGCTCCCTTCTTGCCTTGCTGCCCCATGGATCCAATTGTCAAGGCTGCTCTGCCCAAGTCCTGGCTGTGTCACAGTCCCTACCTAACTTTGTCCTCCACTTTCCTCACTGCTTGTTCAAAATCTTCCCTTCCCTCTAGGTCCACCGTTAGGTCTGCTTTTCTCCAGGTGGTCCTCTTTCTGCAATTCCAGCCTTCAGCATCATCCCTGCTCTGGATTCCTGTAGCATTTAAAGAATTGGTTATCTGCTTGGCATTCAGCACACAGTTTTCTATTATTATTTGCCCCCTTCAGTTCTACACAATAAATAATAAGTGAAGCATCCACCAAGGATAAAGCAGAGTCTTCAAGACAGTACAATTTACCTATAAATATGAAAAAGAAGCCGTCTTCTTTATGCCTCCGTTTTCTAACTCTAAAACGAATGGTGGAAGCTACAGGAAATTCAGAGAACCTTGGTCCCAAAAGGCTTGAGGGATAAAAGTCTATTAGAGATAGGGTAGCTCCCCAAGCTGGGGACTTGAAGTATAGAGCATTTCAGGCCTAAAAGGGACCTCCTGCTTCCCATCCCCCAGCCTCCCATCAGTTAATCTGCCTCGTTCCCCCCAGGTGGAGGATCTCCTGGACACATTGGAGAAGAGTGGTGCTGGCGTCCCTGCTGTCATCCTCAGGAGGCCAAATCAGTCCCAGCCTCTCCCACCATCTTCCCTGCAGCGATTTCTTCGAGCTCGAAACATCTCTGGTGTTGTTCTGGCAGACCACTCTCGTGCCTTCCAAAACAAGTAAGAATCACTTGGCCCTGCACCCTCTTCATTCTGGAAGAGTCTGTTCTGCAGTCTGGGAGGAAGGTCACTGTCCGCTTTCCCACCCTACCTCCTCCAAAACCTCAAGTCCATCTCTAGTCTTTGCTCAGTGGCCTTTTCACATCGGGCCCGAAACCATTATTTGTTTGACTGGATATTCATCTTAGAAACTCATCCTCACCCTTAATCCTTTCCTGTCACAATACTCAGTTAGGGGTTCCACTGCTCCCAAGCTCTCCAGGGTCCTGAGTTCCTCAGGGCTGCCAGCAGAGGGCATCATCTCAAACCAAGCATGGGAAGGGTGGTGGGGGCTCTTTGGCTGGAGTAGAGATAGCAGTCCTCTGGAGCCCCTCAGAGCTGCCAGAAACAGTATTCATACTCCAGGAAATGTACCATGTTCTTGCCAGGTGATAGGTGTCCATGGTTCAGCGTGACAGTAAAAGAGTCTCCTATAGGTGATGGGGCTCCAGATATACAAAGTAAGGCCCTGTTAGTCACCTCCAGTTTATCCTTAAACTGCTTCTAACCTGAAGCCTTGGGTTACAGGGGACTTCTTACTCAGGCTGCGTTGCCAAGCTTCCCTGGGGTCAAATGAGTTTCGGAGTAAAAATGCTTGAGCTCTGTTTCTGGCCCCACCCAAGTAGTACTTTCCCCTTCATTTAGGGGAGTGATAGTCCTAGCACTTAGAGTCAGCCATCTTCTCCAAAGCTTTCTTTGTATCACTTTGGGATGAGTGAGCATTCCTCATTTGAACACATTTTGATTTGATCATGTGGCTGACTTGACTTTGTGTGGCACAGGGATTTATTGATGGTAAAGACTGGAGCTCTGTTATTCCCTCTTTTAAGATCTGTCTCCTTGGGGCTCCATAAGGATCATCGTGGTGATTTTATCAATGTATTCTTATGTATCTATGAGCAGACCTCATGCTAAGACCTGCTAATCACCCCCTGCTCCCAGGCACCCTAAATAGAAGTGTTCATTGGAACAGTTATATAATTGATCTGATGATATATGGCAGAGTTCTCTGAAAGTCATCTTAACCATCCCCCATGTCTTCAGCCCCAGTGATATAGAAGAGTCTCTCCTGTTCTTAAAGATCTGAGCTCATTCACCTTTTCTACTTGTCTGTCAGGAAAGTCTTTAATTTTCTTTTTTTTTTTTTGAGACGGAGTTTCACTCTTGTTGCCCAGGCTGGAGTGCAATGGCGCAATCTCGGCTCACCACAACCTCCGCCTCTTGGGTTCAGGCAATTCTCCTGCCTCAGCCTCCTGAGTAGCTGGGATTACAGGCACGCGCCACCATGCCCAGCTGATTTTTTTGTATTTTTAGTAGAGACAGGGTTTCACCATGTTGACCAGGATGGTCTCGATCTCTTGACCTAGTGATCCACCCACCTCGGCCTCCCAAAGTGCTTTAATTTTCACTAGTCACCTCACCCTCACTCCTACCTCCCTGTTCTCCACACCTTCAATATGGAATCCTGATTTTCTCTCACCCCTTTTTTCTGGGTGATGATAAATGAGATACCGAGTTCCTGCATAAGAGGCATTTGAGGGAGGAAAAGGGCAGAGCCCTGGCTAAATGTAGCCAAGGCTCATGCTGGCTTTCCTGGCAGATACTACCAGAGTATTTACGACACTGCTGAGAACATTAATGTGAGCTATCCTGAATGGCTGAGCCCTGAAGAGGACCTGAACTTTGTAACAGACACTGCCAAGGTAGCACTGAACCAGGCTGGGTGGGAGCCTGGGGCACACAGTGAAGATGCTAGCGTTTGAGGATAGGAGAGGTGGGCCATTCAGCCCCCTCCTCACCTACCACAGGCCCTGGCGGACGTGGCCACAGTGCTGGGACGTGCTCTGTATGAGCTTGCAGGAGGAACCAACTTCAGCGACACAGTTCAGGCTGATCCCCAAACGGTAAGCAGATGGGCCCTGGCTCCTTCTGTCTGTTTACACGGCAAGCTGCCCCTATCCTTTATGTCCCTTGTCTAGTGTCCCAAACCTTGGAATTCCACATGCCTGTTGATGCCAGTGAGAATGCCTGATGCCCCAGAGAGCTTTTGGGTGGGGCTTATCTGCATTTTATGGGCCAGCCACTGTCTCCCAACTCCAGTCTATCTAGCCAGTCTGGTTCCTGCCCTATGACTGGGTCTCCACTGATAATTCTTTCCCTGGGCTCACTTCAAGTCACAGGGTTTTCTCGTTTCACTGTTCCGATCCTAGGTTACCCGCCTGCTCTATGGGTTTCTGATTAGAGCCAACAACTCGTGGTTCCAGTCTATCCTAAGGCAAGACCTAAGGTCCTACTTGGGTAAGCATCTGCTGTGGGAATGGGACTTTTAGCTGAGGAAAGGGATAGAGAAAAAGTCATTTTGGTTTAACTCTTATTTTTTTTCTTTTTTTCTCTCTTTTTTCCTTTCTCTCTTCTCATATTTGATGGATCCTTTTCCCTTGCCCTCCTTTCTGGCTGCTGCCAATCTTGGGCTTTTCCTGTTTCACCCACCGCCCACACCAAATCTTCCCATCCCTTTGGTCTGCGATCAGGTGACGGGCCTCTTCAACATTACATCGCTGTCTCTAGCCCTACCAACACCACTTACGTTGTACAGTATGCCTTGGCAAATTTGACTGGCACGGTGGTCAACCTCACCCGAGAGCAGTGCCAGGATCCAAGTAAAGTCCCAAGTGAAAACAAGGATGTGAGTGGTGGTGGGTGTCGGAATTACCCTGGGGCCCCTTTCTCTTGGGAAAGTTGGAGGTTCTTCTAGGCCCAGTTGGATCCAGGGGATTGGGATGGAGAGATGGAGAGATGCAGTCCCGAGAAATTGAGTGTTGAAGAGCTTGGTGAAAATGGACCACCTGATGGGTACAGGGACAGCAGGCAGTTAGCTCACTTGGTTAGAGCATGGCACTGATAGAGAGTAAAGGGATCGAGTGAGAAGCGGATCACCCTAGCCCTGTGTTGTGGCCCATCTTCCTGTGCAGCTGTATGAGTACTCATGGGTCCAGGGCCCGTTGAATTCCAATGAGACGGACCGACTCCCCCGGTGCGTGCGTTCCACTGCACGATTAGCCAGGGCCTTGTCTCCTGCCTTTGAACTGAGTCAGTGGAGCTCTACTGAATACTCTACATGGACTGAGAGCCGCTGGAAAGATATCCGTGCCCGAATATTTCTCATTGCCAGCAAAGAGCTTGAGGTGAGATGGGGCAGGAGGGGAGGTGGCAGGGATCTGTCTGACTTCTTTATCTGGTTTCTTGTCTCATGTGCCCCCTTCCAATTCCCATTTGCCCTAGGTTTGTAGCAAAAGCCTACTGCAAATCTGTCCCTGGTCAGCCAGCATGTTCCCTTAGGAGGCCTTTTTTTTTTTTTTTTTTTTTTTTTGTGAGACAGAGTTTTACTCTTGTTGCCCAAGCTGGAGTGCAATGGCGCAATCTTGGCTCACTGCAACCTCCGCCTCCCCAGTTCATGCAATTCTCTTGCCTCAGTCTCCGAGTAGCTGGGATTACATACATGTTTCGCTATGCCTGGCTAACTTTTTTTATTTTTAGTAGAGATGGGTTTCACCGTGTTGGTCAGGCTGGTCTCAAACTCCTGACCTCAGGTGATCCACCCACCTTAGCCTCCCAAAGTAAGTGCTGGGCTTACAGGCGTGAGCCGCCACACCCGACCAGGAGGCCTTTCTTCACAGAGAGTGTGAAGATGTGTTTATTCTGGAAAGCCCCTGTGAATCCCAGAACTCCTCCACAGTTTCCACTCCCATCTGGTATTCCCTGTCTGGCACAGCTGGGATGAGTCAGTGTGAGGTACTGAGCTCTTGTCATCAGTCAGTAATGTAAGTGCCACAAGAGAACCAAAGCCATGGGCCCTGCTTTACAAATGCCCAGAATCTAAGTAATACAAGATAGAAGCAAGAACTTTACTTCTCTTTTCAAATGGGGAGACAAAGTCTGTAGGCTGGAGAGATAGTGCCCATGATTGTTCCATTCTTGGTGCTCAGAGCCAGCATCCGAATTCCCATGGCTCCCAACCCCAAACAGTTACCCAGAAAACTGCACTGAGTTCTGAAAATGCCTTCCTCCTTTCTTGCCCTCCCTCCCCTGCAGTTTATCACCCTGATAGTGGGCTTCGGCATCCTCATCTTCTCTCTCATCGTCACCTACTGCATCAATGCCAAAGCTGATGTCCTTTTCATTGCTCCCCGGGAGCCAGGAGCCGTGTCATACTGAGAGGACCCCAGCTTTTCCTGCCAGCTCAGCAGTCCACTTCCTAGAGCATCTGTCCCACTGGGACACAACCACTAATTTGTCACTGGAGCCTCCCTGGGCCTGTCTCAGACTGGGATTAACATAAAAGAGTGGAACTATCCAAAAGACACTGGGAAAGATAAATAAGTTGCCTCCCTTCCTCCGCTCGCCTTTCCCATCTCTCCTCCATTTCCTCCTCTTCCCTACTCGTGCCAGATATTGGGGATTACAAATAGAAGCTTCTTGCTCCTGTTTAACTCCCTAGTCACCCACCCTAATTTGCCCTTCAGGATCCTTCTTCTACTTTTCCCATCCTGCCCTGTGCCTCTTTCTGCTCCTCACCCCCACCCCTGAACCCAGCCACCTTCCTGACAAGGAAGGACATAAAAGGTTGAATGTCAGGATCAAACGACATGGAACCCTTGAAGAGGATGACAGGGGCATCTCTGGGCTGAGCCTGCTGTCTCCTTCCCACCGTCCTTTCTTCAGGCCCTCAGATGGCACATTAGGGTGGGCGTGCTGCGGGTGGGTATCCCACCTCCAGCCCACAGTGCTCAGTTGTACTTTTTATTAAGCTGTAATATCTATTTTTGTTTCTTTTTCTTTTATTCTTTTTTGTAAATATATATATATAATGAGTTTCATTAAAATAGATGATCCCACATACCTTGTACTGCTACCTTTATTCTTCCCAGGCCACCTTGTTCAGTGAGCCTGGACTGGAAGTCATGAAGTTATCTTTGATGCTGTTGTCTTACATCGTCTTGGGCTCCAGAGGAGTAAGGCTCTGTCAAAAACAGTTGAAGTCCTTTCAAATTGGAGAGCCCTGGTTCCCCTCTTGTAAGAACAATGTTAACATAGTTTCTTCTCACTTTGTAATGAACAGGCATTTCTTTATTCACTCTGAGACACTGGCTGGGGTACAGAGATGAAGAGAATATAACCCTAACCCTTGAGTAGCTCACAGTTGGGGTGAGAGAAGAGACAGACATTCTCACAACTACATTCTCACAAACACAGAGACATTTCCTCCCTCTGTAAAATGTAATCCAGTGTCATAAGTGGAATAATCGCAATATATCCCAAGTGCTCTGGTAGCAATTCAGGACCATATCAGGGGGTGACATTCAAGTGATGATGTAAAGCGTTCACCAGGTGTGGAAGCACAGAATCAAGAATAGGCGTGAGTCACGTTTGGGAGATGGTAAGTTCAGTGTGCTGAGCCATAAGGATCAGCAGGAGGCGAGGCTGGGCTGCTAAGGAGTTTGGGCTTTCTGTTAATGGTGGGCCCTTTGTAGACCAAAACAAGTTTGGACTGCTTTACAGAACGAACCTGACCTCTGTAGAGATGCTCAAATTCTCGGAGTCTTCACAGAGGCAAAATTCTGGAGTATAACAGCACTGCTAAATGACTGGGCAGCGGCTAAGTCAGCCGAGGGGGAAAGAGAACCAGGAGTAGAAGCCTAAACCCAGCCTTCTCCACTGCTGGCCAAGAGGCTGCCCCGGACCCATGCCTGAATACCAGCAGTGATGGAAAGAGACTGGCTGGCAATATTCACAGGGTCTCAAGCACTCCTCTTAGTTCCCTGACTAGACCATTTACCTCTTCAAATCATGCTGAGAAGAGGTGATTTTTCTCCAGGTTTCTCTCCAAGGCCCCTTGAGGGAAAGAGAGGGATGTTTGGGCTTCTGAGAGATGAAATATACCCTGCTACTTCTCCCCCACCCCAACCCTCCCAGTTTGAGCTGGAGAGGCTGTGTGGTGCTGGCGGGAGTCTAGCACAGCTGCCACCATCGACTGGGCCGGGCTCCACACCTCCCTCGGCCAACAGGTCTCCCAGCGGACAGAGCAGTAAACTCTCTCATCCTGCTGGCAGCTTCAGGAAGCAGAGAAGTGGCTGGGTACAAGTGAGGGGGCTGAACAGGGAAACAGGGTTGTGCAGAATGAAGAGATCAAGGGGTAAGTAAGAAGTTACAAGATGTAGGACGGTCACCACTTCAATCTCGGCCTAGGGAAGCATCCTGAACACAAGCTTGTCTGCTGCCTTCCATGCTCCCTTACTTCCAGCCTCCTAACAAACCAACTTGGCTTTTTCCATGGCTCATGGAGAGGCCAGGCTCCATAGCATTGGGCTTTTGCACACCCTCCCTTTCTGGCTAAGAATACCATGGTTCTGGCTTCTTACCAGGTATCTCCTATGTCCTGAAGACATGTGTGACTGGTTGGCAGTATCTAATGGGCCATGTAGTTCTCAGTTCTTAGCCTCTGCCTCTCCCTTGATCTAGGCCTTGCTTACCCTGTGCCTTCTGAAATGTATCATTTTCCAGCCCCTTTCCTCTCCCTGAGGGATTTCCTCCCTCCCTGCCCCTGCCGGTTGCTAGCTGACACTGCACCTTCTCTTCCTTCCAGCCCATGCCAACAGTTGAGTAACTGACCACTCCTGCCCCAGGACCCAGCCTGCCTCTGCCTATTGATACCTTGTCCCTCAAGATGAAGACTTTCCTACCAGCTGGTGTTTCTTGCCCAGCTTATTTGAGTAAAGGGGTTTTCTATCTTTGTCTTTCCCACCTCTGGGTCACTGCTCTCAAAGGCCCAGCCTGGGATGTGTGGTGTTCTGCACTCTGTGTCACCCTTATTCAGTAGGACTTCTATTTCTTCAAGGGACCTTAGAAATCATCTGCACAGTCTTAACTCACTTGATTGAAGAGGGAACGAGCCCAGAGGAGTGATGTGGTTTGCCCAAGGTCACATAGCAAATGAGAGACAGAACTGGGATTAGAACCTTCTGTACATCTGCAGGGGCAGCCACAGCAGTAATAAGCATTTATTGAGCATGGTCTGGGCAGGGCACCGTGCCCCAGCATGGACAAAGGGGAAGAAATAGAGCACCTTGCCTTGGAGACTTAGGACCCAGAGTCTAGATGGCAGGGCGAGACATATGATAAATAACAGGCAAGGCAGCATAGGCCCCACGCAAAATCAATGCTATAAACAGGTTCTACTGAGAAGTTCGGAGGAGGAAGGGTTTGTTTCAGCCACGAGAGACCAATATGGAGGAACTTTACGTCGTGGGAAGGGCTCAGAACCAGGATTCTGACCTGCCACTAATGCTCTTTGTGACCTTGGAAGGGGCATTTCCTCCCTCTGTAAAATGTGGAGTTAGACAAGGGGCTGCTCTCAGGTACCCCCTGGCTCTGTCAGTCTTGTTTTTTGAAGAGAGAGCTGGAGCTGAAGTCTCTTCCTTCTCCCCGTCTTCTGAAAACTCGGAGCAGGGAACATTTGAGAGGCTGATCAATTCCTGAACTCTGAAATGTAGCAGGAGAATCAAATCTAGGAAGAAAGGACTGAGGGGCACTATTGCCCTCTAACCCAGGGACAGCAGGAATATGGGGAGATTGTGGCATAACACCATAGAAAAGACCCTGTCACTCACCATCCCAATCCCCGTAAAAGCTTGGCAGGAATTGAAGTTAAACTTGGGAAGCAGAGACCCCTGGAAGATTGGGGTCCCAATGGGCCTCAGGTTGGATTTTTATTCCTTCCTGAATTCAAACTCCAAAGCTAGAAGACCTCTCCCACTCCTGTTATGGAGTAGGGCAGCTGTTGCCCCTGTCCCCAACCAGGCGAAACTTGGAGCAGGAGTGGAGGGGTCATCTCAGGAGGCCTAAGGAGAAGCCATTAGTCTGAGATGATGCAACTGTGAGTAAGTGTTACAGCCTCTGGCTCAGGCTGGTTGGATGCTCAGGGTCTGGGGGCTAGGACCCTAGAGTCCCTGCTATCTCCCGAGCTCAGAACTGAGAAGGAGTTAGAGAAACTGAGAAAAGAAAGAAAAAGATGAAATGAGAGGGCATCCAGAAAAGGATAAGCTAGCGAAAGGAAATGAAGGAAGTAGGGGGTTTCTGGAAGGGCTGAAGGTGGAAAGGGAGGCTGGAAGCTGTGCTGAGAGGGAACAGAGCCTAGGGGAGAAAGGCCAGGCGGGCGTGGCCAGGAGGGGAGTAAGCCCAGAGCTGGTGGTGACAGATGGGTGGACACAAAGAAGAGAGCTTCAGGGAAGACAGATGGATGGGGGAGGGAAGAGAAGAGGTTGGGGGGTTGGAGGGAGCCCAGTGGTTGGAGGCCATAATGAGATTGGAGATGGGCTATGAGCTGAGGAGAGGTGAGCGGAGAGGAAAGAAGAAAGGGGAGGCCGTCTTAGGAGACAAAGGCAGTGCGGCCTAGAGGGCCTGGGATGAGAGGCCTCGGCTGGGCGCTGAGAAGGGGGGCTTCCAGCCGGGCTGGCAGCAGAGAGAGTGACAGATTGTGTAGTGAGCCAGAGTGGAGACCCGCTGTCACCTTCCAGAGGCACAGAGAGGTGGAGACAGAGAAAGACAGACTGACAGAGACCATGTGGAAAACGCAGGGAGAGAAGCTAAGACGAAGGAAGACATCCAAGACCAAGACCAGCCGCCCCTTCCTGGAAACAACAGCTCTGCCCGGGAGGGGCACGCTCTGCTCCTGTAACCCAAAACACTGCCACTGTTACAAAATAACACCCTAGCCACAGGCCACTCCCGGGAAGGGTCAGGCAGTGTGGCACAGTGAGGGTTAATGCCGTCTGCTCTCCCTGCCAGCCGCTTGCCTGGTTGGGTCCCCAGGGCTCCCCACATATGTCACCCCCTCTCCTGCCAAACCCACCGCTTCCCAGCTCCTCCAGGCCCTCCCCCCACCCTCAAGGACAAGGCGCAGGCCCCTGTGTCTTCCTTACACACCAACCTCCCTCCCCTCCCCCAACCATCGACCTCTCAGGCTATGGGGAGAGATTTGTGAATCACATCTGAAAAACTGAATGCCTATAAAATGTAAAATAGCTGAACCCTCATTCTATTGTATCAGGTGTTGCCTCATTACTGGATTATCTCAAATAAAAGCCAGTGGAGAGTTTTAAACAACAAAAATAAAGTAAAATCACAGCAAACTCTAAAGCTATAATCATCCTCTTCATCCTTGGGCCTTGCTCTTTTTGCTCTCCTTGTAGCAAAGACCCCCACAAAACTCTGAGAGTTCTCCCTTCCCCTGGGGCCTGAGGCCAGACAACGTACGTTGCCTCAAAACTCTCCCCAGCATCCATAATCATAATGCCTCAGATATATGTGTGTATGGAACTTCTTGCCACCTTTAAACCACCATAGGAAGTTGGGATGTGCACTTTCCAGTTTACCCAGCCCTTTCCCATGCATGAGTTCACCTGGGTGTCACCACTATTCTGACAAAATAAGACTCGGTCAAGGTTACATGACTTATCCAAGGTCACCAGGACTTAGACCCACGTCCAACGGCCCCCAGATTTAGTAGAGGTAGTTCTTCCCACCAATTCGTGCCTTTATGTCCTCTCTGTCACAACTGTGTTCTTTTTTAGCTACTCCCCTAAGGAGCAAAAGCTGAAATCCTAAGTGAAAACTGGGTCAGGGGGCCCCAGAGTCCAGGATCCTGGGATGCCAGATGCAGAGGAGGAGGAGCGGTCCCCAGAGCGGTCCCCCTTTCACCCTCCTCTCCTATGGAACCTCAGCTTGAACTGGGACAGGTTCAGTGGGGGTGCTTCAGGGATGGAGGGTGCAGGGTTTAAGTAACTGAGCAAAAGGGCCTGAAAGCGGGGAACCCCACAACAGGAGTTTGGCTCCTTCCTGCATTCTCTATGCCACCTCCAAGGTTCCTTTCTGCTTCGAGGGTCTCTCCAGGCTCTGCTTTTGTTTTCCTCAATGTCTTACTTTTTGGGTTCTGGCATCCCTGTTTCAGTCATAGTCCTTCATTTCCATCCTTCAGTTTATCACCTTTCCCCCCCTTGTCTCTTTGTCTCTGGTATTTTTTTGTTTCCTTCCAACTGTCTATTCTCTGCTTTCCTCATGCCTATGTGGACCCACCCTGCCTTGGGACCTCCCTCAGGACTGTGTCTCATGGTGTCAGTATTTCTCTGTCTCTAAATAGCTGTGTTTCCTCCATATCTGTATTCATCAAAGTCTGTGTCTCCCTAGCAGCCTCCTCTATTTTTTTTTTTTAAGATGGAGTCTTGCTATTGTCACGCAGGCTGGAGAGTAATGGTGTGATTTTGGCTCATTGCAACCTCTGCCTCTTGGGTTCAAGTGATTCTCCTGCCTCAGCCTCCCAAGAAGCTGGGATTACAGGCACGTGCCACCACTCCCAGCTAATTTTTATATTTTTAGTAGAGATGGGGTTTCACCATGTTGGCCAGGCTGGTCTCGAACTCCTGACCTTAGGTGATTCACCCGCCTTGGCCTCCCAAAGTGCTGAGATAACAGGTGTGAGCCACTGAGCCTGGCCGCAGCATCCTCTTTTTAAGCCTCTCCTCAAGTCTCTATCTCTCCCATAGCTTGGATCTCCAAGTCTTCCACAAAGCCTTGGCAACCTGGCAATTCTGTTTCCATTCTCCCTTTTTTTAAAAAAAATCTTTCTGCCTCCTCTGTCTCGATCTCCCAGTGAGACTGTGTCTTCTGATTTCCCTATGTCTTCCCCATGTCTGTTACCCAATGACTGTTTTCTCATTTTTTTCTCTCTGAGTCTCAGTATCTTCCCGTGTCTTTCTCGTCATTTCCCTCTGCTTCCCCTGTCTCTGTTCATCTCCTTTTCTTTCTGTATCTCTCATCTCTCCCATGGCATTCTCTCCTGAGTCTCTTGGTCTCCCAGTTTCTTGGATGAAGTGGAGGGCAGGAGAGTAGAGGAGGTAGAATTGTTGTTGCTGGGGGCTCATTAGGTGGAGATTGGTTTTTAATCAGCACCATGGCAATGATGATGCAAGAACTGAGATGCCACCTGATCCCCTGCCCCCGCCACAGCCCCCCTCCTCAAGCCTCCTTTCCCCTCCAGCTCAGCCCATCTGCTGGCGCCTGGGCACCTGTCTGGGCCTGCCCAGGTGGGAGTTGGCACCTCCCAGACTCAGGGATGGGGGCAGGTGGGGGAGCTTGGGGAGGAATTATGGGACTCCCCTTGGGGAATGTTTCCCCCTGGAGAAAGCCCAGAAAAGGTTGACCAGCAACAGGGAAATGGCAAATCCCTCCAGCATGAAGGTGGGATGGGCTCCTACTAAGATTTAGGCCTGATATACATATATATATATATATATATATATATATATAATCTCCCTTATTTCCATGGCAACCTAAGAAGCAGGTATAATCACCCCCATTTTACAGAAAAAGAGGTCAAGGCCCAAGAGGATGTTTCTTGTCCAAGGTCGCACAGCTGACAGAGCCTTTTTCACTGTATCGCACTACCTCTGGAGTCCTCTCTAGCTGTGGTTCATTTGGAGACTCACAAAGGCTCAGTGAAGACATCCAACAGCTGAGTAGGGAGAGAACTTCAGATACTGAACCCTCTGTGCACTTCCTGTCTATGCACCCTGGTCCCTGTGTTGCCCCTCCTCATTCCTGCCACTAGGCAACACACACACACACACACACACACACACACACACACACACACACGGAGGCTGCTGAGCTATTGATGGGAACTTAATCAGTGTCCATTTGCATGTGATTTTGTATCTGGTTTTCTTATCGCTGATTTGATGCCCTCTACACTCAGAGCTGCGTAGGCTGCCCGGCCCTCCTCTCCCAGTGTTCTTCCTGTCTAGGCACTCCTCCACTCCTCCCCTTTTAGCCTTTACCTCTTTTTTCCTAAAAGCCTGCTAATTCCCAGTGGGGCAGGTTGGGCTGGCCAGCCTAGAAAAACTCCCTGTGGGGTCTGTGTTCCAAATCTGATCCTGCTCCTCCCCTTGGTGATGGGTTAGGTAGGAAGATAGACAGGGGATGTGGTAAGAGGGTGTGGGGGTGATTGAGTCCCAGGGTGATGAGGGTAGGGGCCTGAACAGTTGCTATGGACAGACTGGCAAGCAGTGGGTACCAGCTTCATGAAGGGTAAGAGCTTGAGGGCCAGGGCCCTAGGGTCCTCTTCTGCATTTTAGTGCTGTCCGCTTGCTCTTTTCTTGGTTTCCCCGTTAATATTTTCAAGAGTCTTCCAGAAAAAAAGAAGACACAGGGAAGGGGCTGTTCAAGTCACGCTGAGACTCAGGATGGGGCCATGGCACTTAACCATGGCTTGCTGGGAGCCTCTGCCCTGCTGCCTCTAGTGTGGGAGACTGAGGGGGTTCATCTGTGGTCCTACCCTGGCTCTCTCCCCAGCCCCACCCCTTCCCCAGCTCTCCATTTCTTGCTTATGAAATATGCATGGAGAACAGATGTCCCTGCTCCCCCACTCCCTGCCCCCCCCAGGGCCAGCCCCCGCCCCCAGCTCCCGGGGGGTTCCCAGATCCCTCTGCCAGTGGCTGCCTGGCCTGGCTGTTTAATATTGATGAGGGGGGGTGGGCCTGGGCCAGCCAATGGAGAGCTGGGGGTGTGTGTGTGTATCTCCATATATATACATAGGGCTGGGCCAGCTCAGGTGTGTATGTGTCTGTGGGTGTGTGTGTGAGTGTGGCTGTTCCCAGTACCTGGCCAAGCCCACCACCTCCACCTGGGCCCTACACCCCCACCATGTGTGCCCCTGTTATCTACCCTGGAGCCTATACAGCTATGCCACGCTGCCCCTGAGAGCTCTAGAAAGCTGGTCACTAACTTTGCAGACGGATGAGCCCTGAACACCCAGAGGAGACTGGGGCTGTCAATGCTGCCCCTTGTCCTGCCGGCTTGGATGCCCTGACAGGGTCCTTCTAGGTAAAGGGGAAAGCACGGGTGGGGAGGGATGGGCGTGTCCCTCCCATTCTCTGGCTCAAGCCCCTTCCTAGAGCCTCCCTCTAGTTCTCTCTCTCTCCTGTGCTGTGTCTCTCTTCATCTCTGCATGCCCCTCTTCTCCACTCCTCCCCTTCGACTCTTTGTGCCTGTCTATCCTCAGTCGGGTTAGGGCTGGCAGAAGTGGGGTGGGAAGTTCTGTCCTAGATGCTCGGAATTGCTGCTCCCCTGCTCCCTGGACCCTAGAACTTTGAGACCAGAAGTGGATTTGGGGCTGAGGACTTTATGGGTAAATAGAAGCTGCTGCTGGGACTGGAACTGGGGAGGACAGTGGGGCCAGGTGGAGATGAGACTGGGTCCAGCTGGGAAGCACAGAGAGGGGAAGGAAGGGCATGGCAAAGTGATCAAGGATGAAGGAACACAGGGACCAGGCAGAGAGAAGTAGCCTGTGATAAATGTGATAAATGTGCTGCGAACCCCGAAGCTGAACTCCTGCTTCCAATCCCAGAATTGGGGTGGGGAGTTGGAGGCACTAAACATGTACTGGGAGGTACTGACTTGGGGGCCTCCCATACTATTGCCATCCCCCCCTTACTTCCTTTGAACCCCAGAATATGGAATGTTCAGCGCTCACCAGCTTCTGTTTCGTGTTAAGATTGTGTGTGTACTTGTCATCAGATGTGGATGACTTTGCATCCCTCCAGCGCTTCATAGCTGTTCGTTGGCTTGACTTGAACCTGCCTTCTGTGTGGTGTGGGGTGGGGCAAAGCTGGGGAGGATCCTGACCCCTGTAAGAGTATCTATCAAGCAGGAAAGCCAGGGCTGGGGAGAAAGGGGGATGATGACTGTGCAGGCACCTCAGCGCTTCTGTTTCTAATCATTAGTAAGTTGAGCTGATGGTGAGTGGCCCACTCTTCCCCTTTAACACCCCACCCAAGCAAATCCCTTTCCCCAGCTTTGCCCAGGCCATGTTTGTGCTGCCTCGCCCTGATCTCCTCTGGTCCTAGGACAAGCAAACCTTAGCTAAGTCCCATAAGGGTAGCCCCAAAAATCTGTCTGTGTCCTCCTCTGCTGGCCATGTCTGAACCTACCTTGGGCTATGGGAGAGTATGGGGAAGAAATTTATGTTTCCTTTCCCCAGTCTTCCTTGCAGAGCCTCCAAAAGGGCCAGGGAATGGCAAGGGCTGGAAATTTTGAAGACAGAGGTGGAGGAAGGGGCTGGTCATGCACAGGGCGGTGGTGGTGGGAAGAGATATCTTCCTCTGGTTCTAGTGGACAGGATCTGACACCTACAATCGTTCTGCTGGGGAGGTTTGGGGGACTGGGAGGGGAGCTGTGCAGAGCTGGGGCAGCTGTGCAGAGCTCCATATGTCCTAGTCTACTCTACAATGGGCAATCTGTGTGTTTATCCACTCCTCCACCCCAGGCGGCAAGGGTGGAGAGGGGCCCTGAGAGGGAGGGGACCACATGCTCAAGGCTTGTATTTTCCCCTCACAACTAGGAAGCGAAAGAGTCATCGCTAACTTCTCTTGGAGCTGTGGCTGCTGTCTTGCCCAGATTTTTTCCTCCTTTTATTTATTTATTTAGGTAAAAAAACAATATGAAATTTATAATCTTAACCATTTTTACATGTACACTTCAGTAGTGTTCGGTATATTCACATTGCTGTGAAGCAGATATCCAGCACTTTTTCATCTTGCGAACGTAAAATTCTATACCCACTAAACAACCCCCCTTTACCCTCTCCCTCCAGCCCCCGGCAACCAGCATTCTACTTTCTGTTTCTACGAATTAGATGACTTTAAATACCTCACGTAAGTGGAGTTATACAGTATTTGTGTTGTCGTTACTGGTTTATTTCACTTGTCATCGTATCCTCAAGGTTCATTCATGCCGTAGCATGTGACAGAACTTCATTTTTAGGGCTGAATAATATTCCCCGGTATGGATATACTACATTTTGTTTATCTGTGGTCCATTGATGGCCATTTGGGTTACCTCTACCTCTTGGCTATCGTGGATAGTGCTGCTATGAACACGAGTGTGCAAATATCTCTTTGACACCCTACTTTGTTTGTCTATATACCTAGAGGTAGGATTCCTGGAGCATACACTAGTTCAATTTTTTTATTTTTTGAGGAGAATTTATAGTGTTTTCCATAGTGGTTGCATCACTTTGCAATCCCAATAAGGCATGAGGGTTCCAATTTCTCCACATCCTCGCCAAGATTTATTTATTTTTTGGTTTGGTGTGTTTTTGTAATAGCCATCCTGATGGATATGAAGTGATATTTCATCATGGTTTTGATTTGCACTTGAATGATTAGTGATGTTGAACATTTTTTCATACGCTTGTTGATCATTTGTATATCATCTTTGGAGAAATGTGTATTCTGGTCCTTCGCCCATATTTTTCCTTTAAAACATTTTTATTTATATAAACGTATGGGGTACAACTGCAATTTTGTTACATGCATAGATTGCATAATTGTCAAGTCAGGGCTCCTAGGATGTCCATTACCTGAACACCGTACATGGTACCCATTCTGTAATTTCTCATCTTTCGCCTCCCTCGCAATCCCTCCTTTGGCCATCTTTAAATTGGGTTATTTGATTTGTGTTGTTGTTGTGTTATAGGATTTATTTATATGTTCTGGATATCAACCCCTTATCTGATGTATAATTTGCAAATATTTTCTCCCATTCCATAGATTGCCTTTTCACTCTATTGATTATGTTCTGTCATAAATAAATGTCTGATATGGTCCATTTTTTCTACTTTTGCTTTTTGTTGCCTGTGCTTTTGGTGTCATATCCAAGACGTCACTGCTGAGTCCAACGTCATGAAGCTTTCCATCCATGTTTTCTTCTAGGAGTTTTATGGTTTAGATCTTCAGTCCTTTGCTCAGTTTTAACCTGCCTAGTGTGTCCTCATCACTTCTGTTACTCGTTTTCTCTTCCCTTCTTGCTACCTTTGCTCCTCCCCTTCTTTCACCCTGTCCACCTGCCTCTCTGTCTCCCGGCCTCTCCCCACCCCCGGCCCCCACCCGTTTCTGCTGTTCTTCCCCACACTCACAGTTCCTTACTCTCCCAGCCCATCTCAAAACCCTTTCCTATTTCTAAGCTGTGCACTCTGCTGCTCCCTCTGCTGCTCCCTCTGCTCCCTCTCCTCCTCCTTCTGCTGCTACCAGTTCTGTCTTCTCTTTTTCAGGCTTCAGACTGGAACCCTGACCATGGAACCCTGAAGTGGCAGTGACTTCTAAAGCTCAGTGGCAGACCCCGCGACCCCAGGCCCTTCCTCCCCCTCCCACAACAAGCTTTCAAGCTCCCAGAGGGAGGGGTGGGGAGGGGATCCTGATCTCACCGGGCAGGAGGCTTCCATCATGATGCTCAACTCAGACACCATGGAGCTGGACCTGCCGCCCACTCACTCGGAGACTGAGTCGGGCTTCAGCGACTGTGGGGGCGGGGCGGGCCCTGACGGGGCCGGGCCTGGGGGTCCGGGAGGGGGCCAGACCCGAGGCCCAGAGCCGGGAGAGCCTGGCCGGAAAGACCTGCAGCATCTGAGCCGGGAGGAGCGCCGGCGCCGGCGCCGCGCCACAGCCAAGTACCGCACGGCCCACGCCACGCGGGAGCGCATCCGCGTGGAAGCCTTCAACCTGGCCTTTGCCGAGCTGCGCAAGCTGCTGCCCACGCTGCCCCCCGACAAGAAGCTCTCCAAGATTGAGATCCTGCGCCTTGCCATCTGCTACATCTCCTACCTGAACCACGTGCTGGACGTCTGAGCTCGGCCTGTCTCCCACCTTCCCGGGCCTCTCTGGAGCCCTTCTCACCGCTCACTGCTTAGAATGGCCGCCTCCTCCCCGAGCCCTTACACCTTGGCATGGAGTCCCAAAGGCCCTGGGCCCAGGCAGAGAGCCCAGCGGCTGGTCGAGAGGGCATCTTTCTTTCACTGACCCAGGCACCTCGAGGGCTATTCTGGGTTCCTTCCCGGGTTTATTGCTGGGGCCCAGCTGTGCAGAATTGTTCGCTAGTGTGGTTGGTATGGAATCCTTGCTGGTTTTACTAAGTCCGCCGCCCTTGGAGTCTGCCCCCAAGCTCTCTCACGGAATGCTGCCCCTTCTACCCCTATGTCCAGATTTTCAGCGACCGCAGACCCCAGCTGTGTAATCCCATCAGTTCTACCTTCTCCTGCCCCTGGTGGGGATGGGCTGTCAGAACTGCAAGGGAGGAAGGTTGGGGTTAGAGTGGGGAGTGGGCTTCTTTCTCCAAGATCTCAGTCTCTCAGTGCTTGGCAGAGGGATGGGGCCCTGGGGAAGCAGGGTTGGTGCCCGGACTCCTGTGAGGGGCATCTCAGTCGCTGGGAATGACGGAAAAGCTCTTCCTGTGGCTGTCCGTCGTGTTCCTGTGGCTTAGCACATACAGACCTCAGATCTTACTTGGTAGTGAGTGCCTTGCCCTCTCTGAGCTATTTGCCCTCACTTCCCTGCCCACTGACTCCTACTGTCCCAATCTTCTCCCTTCCTGTGTGTCACTAGAGAACGGAAAACCTAGATCCTGGATTAGGGGATGACATCCCACACAGCCCAGGCAGCGAGTGGGCCACGTCTCATTTCTACTTCCTCCGTCTCAGCCCACCCTGGAAACGTGCAGCAGCCTCAGTGTTCCTCCCCCAGATGCAAGGAGCATGCCCAGTTGTTGCCCTCTGGGAATGCTCAGTTCTCCTGGCCCTAGGACCTACTTATTATATATATTTTTCTCTTTCCTTGAACTGCCTTTGTCAAGGGAAGAGATCCCCCAACTCTGTGCTCCCACTCCATATTGCTGATCCCCCACCTGCACACCATAGCCCAGGGTCGGCAGTAGCATGAAGGGCCTTAGAACCTGCGTAGAAGAAATGAACTCACTGAATTTCTGTGCAACCTCCTCCCTCGAACCAAACTCTTAGTTCTACAAGTATATTTATTTATTTATTCATCTATTTATTTATTTACTTACTTATTTATTTATTTATTTATTTATAAATATTGCTATTTATTGCTGAGTTGTGCACTTTGGGGTAGAGTGAGGGGCTCCCAGCAGCTCTAGCTGGGTCTCTCTTGCTTCCTCCCTGCTTCCTTCTCCCCTTTTCTTCCTCGTCTTCAGCTCCTGGTATGTGTGAGCGTGCCCTTTGCTTGCCACACCGTATCTTTTCCCCAGATTCACCTGTCCCTCCGGAATAGTGCTCCTCCCCCAGCTCTGGGGCTCCTGGATGTCCTTCCTCTACTGCCTCCACCCCCAGACAATCCCACCCGGTCCCATCTGCCTCTTTTCTCTCCCCGGCCTGCCCTGTGACCCTTGCTTCTTCCTGATACTCCCAAGAGCAGGCCCCAGGGGTCTGTGTCCTGTGTCCATGTGTGATTCCTTCCAGTTTCATTCCCAATTTCATACAGAAAGAGAAATTAAAGTGACCTCGTTCTAGCACCAGGTATGGTTGTGGTTCATTCCATTGGGTTAAGAAGTGGCCTGCAGGTTATGGTAGGGTGGGTGTTGAGGGTCCTATGCTTTCTAGACTCTTCTGAAGGGGTCATGAGAACTCAGTTTGGGGAACAAATGAAGACAGAGAGAAGAAGAGGCCACAGGGAAGAGAGGTGCAGGGGAGAGCATAACATACAGGTCCAAGATGTCCCCACCAAAATCTGGGTGCGAGGTACCCCCATCTTGGCACTCCTTTAGTGAGCCCGACTTCTCTGATGTTGTGCTTTGGCTCCTGCTCCCTGTGGCCTGAGAAGGAGCTGAATATTCCAGGAGAACCCAAGTTAAACATGTGTCTGTGGGTTCATGCTGCTGGGAAAAGCTATGGTGTGAAACTGAGGCATTGCCTCCCCCTTTGTTGTCTCCAGGCTGGGACAAAATTCTTCGCAATCGCAGTTCTTGGCCTGTTTTGTGTTCCCCAGCCTCAGGATACTGAGAAAAACAGATGGCAGGCCTGGGACTGAAAGAATATGGACAGGGATAAGAGTTCTGAAGGGACCCTCAAAAGAAGTTATAGATGGGGACACTAAAGCTCAGAGAAGGTCAGGGTCTTACCCAAGGTCACACAGCTAATTGGGGGCACAACTAAGGTCCAAATTCAGGTTCTTCGTACCATTTGCTGCCAACTCCCCTCTGCCTCCTAAAATGACCCAGCCTGATGGTCATTTTTTGGAACCCATATTTTCACAGGTGCATTGATAAACTAGAGAGGATTTAAGGTTGTGTGGCAAAGAAACCAGAAGGTCTGGAGACCACTTTTTAGGAGGAATAGTTGAAAAACGGAGGATAGGCTGGGCGCGGTGGCTCACGCCTATAATCCCAGCACTTTGGGAGGCCGATGCAGGTGGATCACGAGGTCAAGAGATCGAGACCATCCTGGTCAACAAGGTGAAACCCCGTCTCTACTAAAAATACAAAAATTAGCTGGGCATAGTGGTGCGCACCTGTAGTCCCAGCTACTCGGGAGGCGGAGGCAGGAGAATTGCTTGAACCCAGAAGGTGGAGGTTGTGGTGAGCTGAGATCGTGCCATTGCACTCCAGTCTGGGTAACAACAGCGAAACTCTGTCTCGGAAAAAAAAAAAAAAAGAAAGAAAAATGGAGGATGTGTGTCTTGGTAGGAGTAGACTTATGGGGTAATACGATACCCATCTTTAAATGTTGAAAGAAGAAAAAAAATGGATATTCTGTGGGGCCCTAAGAGGCAGAACCAAACCAGTGAGTAGAACTTAGATGAAAGCAAATTTTAATTGCAAGAAAAATTTTACAGCACCTGGAGCTGTCCAGCAACGGCACTGACTGCCTCAAGAGGAGAACTCACATAGAGAAGCTGGAGAATCAACCACATGCAGAGAAATCACAGAGCACGTTCCCGCCTCAGGTGGAACACTGGCTAGGTTCATTAGAAGATCCTTTCCAAACTTAAGGTCATACGAGAAGGCTGAAGGCAAACAGCAGGCAGGAAACGCAGAGACACCTTTCAGTCTGTGAGGGTTTTCTTTTTTCTTTTTATTTTTTTTGAGACAGAGTCTTGCTCTGTTGCCCAGGCTGGAGTGCAGTGGCGGGATCTTGGCTCACTGCAGCCTCCACCTCCCGATTCAAGCCATTCTCGTGGCTCAGCCTCCCAAGTAGCTGGAACTATGGGCACCTGCCACCAAGCCCGGCTAATTTTTGTATTTTTAGTAGAGATGGGGTTTCACCATGCTGGTCAGACTAGTCTTGAATTCCTGGCCTGAAGTGATCCTCCCGCTTTGGCCCCCCAAAATGCTGGGATTACAGGCATGAGCCGCCATGCCCAGCTATGGGTCTTCACCTTTGATGAACAAAGAATGATATAAGCAGCAAGAGGGGCTTGAGTTAGACTTAGGGAGGAGCTTCCATACAGGTCAGTCTTCACATCTTCCCCTCCCCATGTGAGTTAAATAAAATGTGCTCTGCCCAGAGCCTGGCAAAAGGGAGGGCTGAACTCAGATCAGGGAGAATTTCACGATTCCAAAGGGCGAGAGTTGGACGGGAACACAAAAATCTTGGAATTCAACAACTTTACTTCAAGGGCAGGTAAACTACTGTCCAGACAGGTAATGTGACTCACCCATGACGATGGCCTGGGTTTCGAAGCCAAGTCTTCCATTCCTGGCGCTGAGAGCTTTGCTCCTGTCTGTGCTCAGCAGCCACAGTCCTCTGGTGCCCTGCCTCCCTCTCTTGTCTCTTTGCCTGGGCTGCAGAGCAGAAGGGGTTAGGGGGCCCTTCCCCTCAGGGATCCCTGAGGGCCTGGGGGTGGCAAGAGGGGGAAGCTGCAGCTGTTCTAGTGCTAGCTCCGAATTTCTTCAAATAATCAATTGGCCTCGCTGCCGCTGCCGCTCTTAGCTCTTCGTGCTCTTCTCGTCTGGGCAGGACAGGAGGAGGCGGAGAGTGGGAGGAGGAGGGAGCAGGGGAGCAGGCACTGGGGGAGGAGGGAGAGGACAGGGAGATGGAAGTCCTTGGGCTGAGGGCAAAGTGAAAGCTTTGGGGCTAGCAGATAGGGAGGCTGGAGAAAAGGGATTGTTAGAAGAGGATCTGCTCTGTGTCCCTAATTCCACATCCCTCTAAACCCAACTAGCGGGCGGTGGGGTGGAGGAGGTGCAGTTTGGGGGACCCAGGAGGATGGGACTATTGCACCTCACCCCTGCTTTCCTCCTGTAGCCCCTTGCCAAGTATCCCATGCATGGCCATAGCTACCCCAGCTGTCCATGTCCTCTTCCAGCCCTAGTGACCACAGGTGCCTGACCCTCCCATCCTGTCTTCATCAATGTCCCCATCTGCCTTGTAACTCAGCAAACCCTACCACCAGTGACAGAGCAGAAGGCAAGGCCCAGGGGCTGGCGAGGGGCACCTAAAACATCACACACACTTATGCACGCACGTGCACACACACACCCACACACGCATACACACACCCACACCCATACATACACACATGCATACACTCCCCCCCCCACACGCATTGTCATTGGCTGCCAGGCATATGGCTCCTTTGTGCCCCACACAATTGCAGCCCTGTCTGTGTCCCTTCCCAAGTCCGGGCACAGTGTAGGGGCGCTCCGCTCACTCACTCCACCGCCTCCCTCCCTCTCCACCCCAGCGCAGGGCCTGCCTTCTTTGCCTTTGCTGCGCCTTCCTCTGTCTGGAAAGCCCTTTCCACCACCCACTTCCTTTATCTTTCTGCTTTTTTCTTGTGTTCTTTCCTGAGGTTTTGATTTCTCACTGGGTGAGGATTATGGGCAGAAGAAAGAGGCTCAGCGCTGGGATGTCAGCGCAGGGAGAAGGGAGGAAGCAGAGATGCTCCTGTAAGGCTGGCAGGGAGTGGAAGAAGGGAGGCAGTGGCGGCAGTGCAGCCACACCGTGCTAGAGGGGAGGAAGCCCGCTCCCGGCAGCCAGAGCCCGCCTCACGCAAGCCCTCCCTGAGTGGCAGCTTTTTCACAGAAGGCAGGAAAGTCAGCAAGACCCACGGGGTTTGATGAGGATTAAATGAGATCCTTGTGAAGGTGTTCAGCACCATAAATGCTCATTAGACGCTGTCTCAGGGGCAGTAAGTAGCAGGGGCAACTTTGCTGTCGTACAGTTTGTGCATGGTACAAGGTGCCAGGCTAAGGGCAGTGTTGGGGCCTGACAACCAACTCCACTAGTACCAGAGCAGCTGCGCAGCAGAATGCATGCATGCCCTGAGAGCAGTCCCTGGAATCAAGCCCCTCGTGTGTGCTCCTGAGCATTGATCAGGGGTCCAGATGAAAACTCCGGAGTCCTTACCCCCTTGGGAACCAGGACAGAATGGAAAGGGACAAGAGGCGATGGGGGATACCTCGCCCTGAGGGGGAAATCCTGAGCTCAGTCTTCTCTGAGCAAATAGGCAATGTATGAAATCTACTAAATGAAGAATGGAGAAACTGCAGCTGAGGAGAAGGGGGCTGAAGAAGCAGAAACAAAATGGAGAATGGGTCAGGGGTGTGATCAGAGCAATGTGTTGGTCTGAGGACCCTTCTCTGGTTCCCTCCTCCATTCCCTCCCTTCAGCAAGTTGGAAGTCCGATTTGGTTATTGCTTGTTGAACACTGCCCTCTGGTGGCTACTAGCAGAAATGTTTTCCCTCTTCCTATCCCCAGCTAGGAGCTGCTGAGAACCCGGAAAAGAGAAAAAAATGACCCGACTGGGGACAAAGGACTAAGGAATTACAATTCTGCAATCTGGAATTCTCTACTTGAGATTTCTGGAAGGTGAAGGAGGCTTGAGGGTTGACCACAGATAAATAGAATTTAGAATTCGTAGGTGGTTCATTTACATATGTGTGTGTGTGTGGGGGGGTGTTTATTTTTTGAGGAGTTTCGCTCTTGATGCCCAGGCTGGAGTGCAGTGGTGCAATCTCTGCTCACTGTAACCTCCGCCTCCCAGGTTCAAGTGGTTCTCCTGCCTCAACCTCCTGAGTAGCTGGGATTACAGGCATGCACCACCATGCCCAGCTAATTTCGTATTTTTAGTAGAGATGGGGTTTCTCCATGTTGGTCAGGCTGGTCTCCAACTCCCGACCTCCGGTGATCCGCCCACTTCCACCTCCCAAAGTGCTGGGATGACAGGTGTGAGCCACCTCGCCCGGCCTCATTTACATACATTATGGTCTACAATTTGCAGATTGATTTTTTTCTGGTCTGTGCCTGTCTCATTTATTGTGTGTCTGCGCTTTTTACATGTTCTGTATCTGGGATGTTACCTAATTCTGTGGTTTTTGAACACACCTATATCTGTTTGCTTGTTTTTTTGCGCTCTTTTTAATGTAGGAGTCTGAGTGACAGCTCTCAGGTACGGAGCAAGGATAGGAAGCTGTCTAATTTCTTCTCTCCTAGAAGCCCTTTCTCCCCTTGAAGTTTTACCTTTTATCTCCCGGCTCCATGAGCTATAATCTATGGCTATTTATAGGT